CAGAGATTTCCTTAGGCATCTGAAATCAATGCATCCCAAACTACCAAGGGTCTCTTTGAGTGTGTTCACACATGCTTTCAATCCTCAGTCAGGCATTAGACAGCTCTGCCTTAGCTTTCACTTCCTGCTTCCATAGAACTTCAAGGTCAACCAGAGTTGAGAGCTTAGAGCTTTCTCAGGTCTTCCTTGAGTATGAAGGGGTCCTGGGCATGCACACAGTCCTAAGTATAAGCATGGTCTTATAGATTCCCCAGAATATGTATTAACCTTTCAAAGCCCCCTGGACATTCCATTCCTCATCTTTTCCTATTAAGCTTTTTGATTAGTCTGTTGTTTGTCACAACTGTTATCCACTGCCTCAGGCAGCTAGCTGTGAAGTTAACTAATTGCCTGTAATTGCTTTAAACAAATACCTCTACATAAAAAGCTTTTCCCACTGGGTGAGTTCAGAGTCAGGTCATATACAGACAGCTTTCCAAGTGGGATCTTCCAGGGAAGTAGCAGACAAGTCAAATAATGGCAATTCTTTGGGGATGAAGTTTTGAAAGATCTCCAGCCCTGATCTGCTCTCTGTGGCTGTCAGATTGTGGTATTTTTCTGTGAATGTGAGCTGTTATTTTTCAAAGCTACTACTGAGCTGGAGAGTAGGGAATGGGAGTGAATCAAGTTAAAATGCCACAAAATTCTCTGTTTTTACCAAGATTCAGCCATTTTTCTTGAATAAATGCTCTCCTGGCTGCACAGGCCTTTGTTTTATTTCTAGAGTTCTGAAAAGTTGATTTTGACTCTTTTTTTTTTTTTGGCCAATTTCCTCATTGCTTTTACAGAGGAGAGAATTTTCAGACGTCCCTACTTTGCCATTTTCACAGATGCCACACTAATGTGAATTGTTAATGGAAACATCTTCATAAAGGAACATAAATATGCTTCAAGACATAAAACCTAGAGCTGGCAGAAACAGGAACACAATAAAAGGGTTGTATTTTGATAGATGGTGAATTTTTAGCAGTCTCTGGCACCAGGGGATGATTTAAATGTAATATTTAATATGACAAATTGCTTTCTCATTGTGCCAGAGGCAGGCTGAAACTGCCTTTGGGATTTTTGAGAAGCTGTTGGTGGACACTGGAAACCATTGTTGCAAAAATCTCAGCCACACACAGAAAAAGCTACAGAAGGAAACATGGTCGCAAGTGTATTTGAAATAAAATCAACAAGCTCCGATTGGTTGTGATTTGTTGTTATGAAAAATAAAGTCACCTCCCTTGAAACTCAGTTTGGGAAAGTGATGATAGTGCCTTCTTTAAAGGCTGTGAGCTTCTTCAGGGTAGAGATGGATGTTTATTTTTGTATTTTCTCTTTCCCTAGAGCCCAGCATGTTGTCTAATCTCATGTGCATTAGTGAAGACCTTCAGTTTCAGGTGACATAAACCCAATTAAAAGTGGCTTAAGTAAAACAGTTTATTTTATATCTCTAAACTTCCAAAGATAACTGACACAGATGTAGCTGGGTTCAGGAACCCAGAAATCTTTCCTGGGAATCTGTCTGCCTCCTACCGTTGTGTCTGATTTCTTTTGTTTGGGTTTCACTTGAATCAGTCTTTGTGGACATGGAGATGGAATACCTTGATGGACCACAATTTGGTTAATCTGCTCATGAGTGAAGCCTGATTGGGTGGCCTGGGTCGGTGCCATCCAGGCCACATTCATTGATAGCAGAGTGGGGTGATACCCAAAGGAAAAAATGAAATGTCATTTCAAAAAGAGGAGGGATGGGTGGATGTTCAGTATCCATGGATGTGCATCAAGCAAAATTAATGCCTGTCTATTACACACAGAAAACACCCACACTGATTTTTCCAATTGTATCATGAGCTGAATTTAGCAATCTTTTCTAGAACCGTGGTTCTGTCTCTGTTCTTTGTACACACTGTGATTATTCCACACCATTATCCCGCCTTTGGTAGGTTCTCATCTCAGCTTCTGCACTGCTTCCTGCTTCCTGTCCTCGCTGTACAGCTTACATGTAAAAGTACATAAATTTCATCTCCCTGGTGACTATGGGATCCTCAGGAACATGGACTATATTTATACTCTTTTGGGCGTAGCTCCTTGAGATTCCATCTAGAGGAACAGAAATATGTAAAAGAACAGCCAACAACTTAGTTTTTCATCTCTCATGGATTGGGTTGGCATTGTTTTCAAACATTCATTACAAAGCTGATGTTTCCTATTGACAAGTAGGTACTATTTACAACTTTAATATCAATGAAAAACAGTCTATAAACTGGGAACAGTACTAGTAATTACTTTAGGAGGGTTGTTGAGAAAAGTCAATGAGCAATTATTACATGTAAAGTACTCAGAACTCGCCTCCTCCTCCTCCTCTGCCGCCTTCTTCTCCTTCTCCTTCTTCTTCTTCTTCCTCTTCTTCTTCCTCTTCTTCTTCTTCTTCCTCTTCCTCTTCTTCTTTTTCTTCTTCCTCTTCTTCTTCTTCCTCTTCCTCCTCCTTCTCCTCTTCTTCTTCCTCTTCTTCTTCCTCTTCCTCTTCCTCCTCCTCCTCCTCTTCTTCTTCCTCCTCTTCTTCTTCCTCTTCTTCCTCTTCTTCTTCCTCCTCCTCCTCTTCCTCTTCTTCCTCTTCCTCCTCCTCCTCCTCTTCCTCTTCCTCTTCTTCTTCTTCTTCCCCTTTCTCTTCTTCTTCTTCTTCTTCCTCTTCCTCCTCCTCCTCCTCTTCCTCCTCTCCTTCTTCTTCCTCTTCCCCTTCCTCTTCTTCTTCTTCTTCTCCTTCTCCTTCTTCTTCAACCGCATCTCTTACCCTTTTTCACATTTGGGGTGGAGAATGAGGGGCTGATTTAGAACATTGAATGTGGGACCCGCTCAGTGCATGAGCTGAGAGTAGGGGCTCCGAGGAGTGAAAGGAACACTTGAAACGATGGTCTGTTTGGTCCATTCTGGTGGAGCCAGTTGCTGAGTGTTTGGTGAATCTCACTGCTGAGCTGAGTTGCCCAGTGTCCACCAGCTTCTCTAGTTGACTTCTTCTCTTCAGACGAGTGTGGAAGTAGTATCTCCACCACAGTCCCTTTGTGAACCCACTCAGTGGTTCTCTAATTCATTCGTGAAGCACATCTTTTACAGCATCCACTGTAATCTCTGTATTTATTGTGTTCTTGTGGCTCATTATGTGCCATCTCTGTTCTAAATCTGGTACATAGATTGACCCATTATATCCTCATAAGGTCACCACACAGTAGGTACTTTTATTATCCCTGGATTTCAGCTCAGGGGACCCTGGCACACGGGGAAATATCTTGTGGCAGACGCTGTTAATGGATTATAAAAAGCCATTTACAAACCCCTCCTCCATGACCAGCTCTACTATCAAAGCCCACTTCTCCAGCCTCCTTTACCGGTGGGCTGGCCGTGTGACAAGCTTTGGACTTCCTGATGATGAGGAGCCGGTGCAGCAGGTGACCCCTCCCCCCTCAGCCTTCCCCCCACTTAGACAGTGGATGGAGATGGCTGGTGTGATAGATGCCATCTTGCTATGTTGAGGGAGTGGCCAGGAGAGCTGCAGAGAAGTAGTAGCCCTCCCCTCACTGAGTCACTGGACCAGAGCCAGCAGACACATAGCTCCAGAATTCTGGTTATGAGTGAAGCATATAAACCCGTGTTGGGTTATTTCACTTGAGTCAGATTTTCTGTAACTGTAGATCCTCACTGAATCAGAGTCTGAGCCAGTTTCAAACACAGTCCAGTCCCAGAACCCATGCATGCTCTCTTCTGCACTGCTTCTCCCATGCCAGATACTGTCCCGGGTTCTCTGGGTGCAGTGGAGGTCAGAGCAATGATGGCTTTGACCCTTGGGGAGTTTACAATCTCATGAACAGTCAGAGATTAAAACATAAACACAAAATAAATATATAGTGACCACTTGTGGTTATTACCATGCAGGACAGACTAGGTGCTATGAGAAATAATAATGCAGTGCTAACACACACTGTGGACAGGCAGAAAAGCCCTGTTTCTCCAAAGAAGTGGACATTTACGTTGAGATCTGAAGGATGGAAGGAACAGGGAGGCGTGTTTTCGGTAGAGAGCTCTGCATATGAAAGAGCGGAAGGCATGAATGAGATTCACTGTTGGAAGAACAAAAAAGTCCTCTGTTTGAGGCTTGACTGTGATGGGGGGCAGCAGGAAGGGGCAAGAAGGAGCTAGAGAGGTGGGTGAGCGTTAGGTCCCTCCAGGTCAGCGAGTTTGGACTTCATCTCTAAGAACCCTAGGATGTTTTCAAAGAGTTTTAATCTAGGAGAGAAATCATCTGAATTATATTGAAATAAAAAAGATTAGCTTCCAGCTGCTGTGAAGAGAGTGGACTCAGGGAGGCCAGTTAGGGGCCGTCATGGTTGTCCACGTGGGGGGGATTCTCCCTCCGTGGGGGAATTGGTCCTGGGGATGACAAGAATTTGACCGATGGGAGATAAATTAGGAAGATAAAACCTACAGAACTTTGAAGGATGTCAGAGGAGGAGAGAAATTAACATGATGTCAGTTTCACAATAGCTAGCGCAGGGATTGTGGGCCAGGGATTGTGATTTCCCAGGCTTGGCTGGGAAATCCCGAGGAGGGGGCGCTTGGAGGTTTGGGGGTAGAGGGCGCTGGTGGTCAGCTCAGGAGCGCGGAGGCTTATAACCTGCAGCTAGTTCTCTCCTCTTCTCTTCTCTGTGCTGCTGTCTTTCCTAATTTGAAACCAAAACGAAGGCTGTGTTCACTATGTGAATAAGCCCTGAACATAGGCCGTCGTTTACCAAATGAACGTCGAGCTAAGATTTGGCAAATATCGAAAAGAACTCCTGCGCCGTGTGCGAGGTGTGTCTGTAGGGCACAGACAGTTTTGTAAATTGTAGAACAACAACTAAGGTCGGAGGTAGCCTGCTGGTGACCCCTCCCGGGGCTCACGGGCGTGCCTGTGGCTGACACGCGCCCTCTTTTCTCCCGCACAGGACACGGAGGTTCTGAACACGGCCATTCTCACCGGAAAGGTTGTTTCGGTTCCCGTCAAGGTCGTGGCCGTTCAAGAGGATGGTTCGGTGGTGGACGTGTCGGAGGCCGTGGAATGCAGGTCTGCGGATGAAGACGTCGTCAAGGTACCGCGGGCTTTACCTCCAGATACCCAGGCATTCGGTCCTTTCCCTCCCTTTCTGTCTCGGGGCTGCTCTGAGCATCCCAGGCTCCGAAGGGCTGAGACCGGGATGAGGATGCTGAGGACGGAGGGAGTGACGGCAGGGACTCGCCTGGAATCAGAGGAGGCTGCACGCGCCGTGCTGCTTCCTTCCCCCGGTCTTAATCTTGAGCGGAAACAATTCTCTTCCCATTCTTTTGCTCATAGGACAATATTTCCTGAATTTTAGCCATCTACCTGCCATCTTCGCAATTTTTGCCAACTTCCTGTGCCAAATAATATAATTTACTCATTATATTTTCTTTAAATGCCTCACTTTTCAACCTTAAATATCTTAAATGTCTCATTAGAAGACAATAAAATCCATGAGCTTGATGTACTTTTTCTTAATATACATGAAAATAAACGACTATTAACTTTTTAAAAAGTCCATCCATGTGCCCCCTAACTTCACGTGGGTACCAGTGGGACACAGCTCACAGTCTGGGGAAATCTGGCCGTGGCACATTTCTGCTGCGTCCTGCATCCTAATTAGCTGGATTTAGGACTCCATATTCAGCCAGGAACCAGCCCATGATGTTTTTCCATGTCTTTGCAGGGGTCTGTTTGAGTCACTGAATTTAGAGCTTCTGCCCGTTTTTTCTTGGCGCCCTGATTGGCAGTTTCCTCTTGCAGCAGAGACCCCGAGAGAAAGGACTTACATCTTCAGAATGATCCTTTCTCCTTCAAGCTGCGAAGAGAGCTCCCAGGTCCTATGTCTTCATTCATTTTAGAAAAACACAGTACCGCTGAGTTCTTCCTTCTTTCTGCTCTGCTGGCTCCTGTTCAGAGGTGAAATGAAACTTGGTCCCTGTCTGAAGAACTTTGTGGTGGACAGAAAATCCTGCAGGGTTTTCCCTGTGGCGGAAAAGATCTGGAAGGGATTCCTTCCTTCTTACAGTGACCTGCAGGAGGCTGTGCCTTAAGCCGGAGATGGTTTTGATAAGGAAGAATTGATGTGTCTGTGAGGCCTAATTTAAAAAAAAATTAATCCTTAGGAAACCCCAATTTGGCATCGCCTGCTTTCTGGGTGGAATGCTAATTCTCCCCTCGAGACAGAAGGTGGACTGGCTTCAAAGTACAAACAGCCTTGCCCTGGGGCTCCTGGCAGGCCTCGGACTCCGTGGGCGGGTTTGATTAAACAAATCTAAAGCCTTTGATATTCTGAGTCTAGAAAGATCTGAGCCAAGTCATACAAACTCATCTGCACAGAATGAAAAATATTGATTCATTGCCCTTGGTTGCCTTTGAAAATGCCTGTTATTTACCATCCCCCTGTCATTCCAGGAGGGAGACACTGGTATGGCACACGGAGGTGGCATCTGTGTGATTATGCCACCCTGGGCTCAAACAGATGGCTCAGCTCTGTAGACCCCTCAGCCTTGTTCCCTCCCGAGAGCCTGGTGTGGAGCCCCCCAGAGCGGGATCTCTGCTCTCCTGACCTGGAGAGCTCTGCCCTACAGAGGCAAGCCCAAGTTCATGGATCCCATTGTTGCCGTATACTTGGTTGTCTCCCCTTCGCAGAAATATACTAAAAATATCCTCCCCTGAGCCCGAGAGAGAAATTGCTTTGGAAGGCAGTAGTTTCCGGCTGAGCGGTCGCTTTCGTGGCCTCATGAAGATGGGGCTCTCTTCTAGCGAACTGTGGCCTGATCTTAGCAAACGAGAGTGTGCAGATCCCCAAGCACAGAACTGCTGTAAGACGTTTCTAGGGGAGCCCAGGCTCCGTTGCAAATCCTGGCGCCTGGGTCAATTGAGGGGGATTCACTAAATGGCTGTGATGCATTTGTCACAGCTTTCGTGTCAATATTTGTCATACATTTTGTCATAACGCTAAGATGTACAGCGTCGTCCTCAGAGCTGTCCGCTGGCCTGGGCATCACCCCAGGGGCACCTAAACACGTGGATGCTCATTAGCACCCCAGGGAGAGACCCCCTTGGTCTGTGGATTTGTCTCCTGGTCACTGCCTCATGGTGCAGGAAACGCTGTGTGATTCCCCAGGGAGAGTCTTGCAGGTTTCACCAAAGATCGTCATGCGATGGCAATTCTGAGCGTTGGGATTGTGACTTAGGTAAGGGACAAGGTATAAATTCAGGACGGTGTTAATTGTAGTGATACACAAATTGGCTTCTTCGACTTGGGACCGTATGACATCAGGGGGAATAAATCTGAGGACATAAAGGATTTTGAAGGGCTGGAACCTTGGCAAGATTGGAAGCGATCTGTGTCACATTTTAAGTGGACAAGTACTTCTATGTTAAAAAAAACATACATAGAAGATGCATACTAACTGCATGTGTGTGTGTGCAAGAAACCTTGGCAGTTTTGTTCACAGTGAGATCTGATGAACCAGCTGTGTTTTTTAATTGAAGTATCGTGGATTTACAATATTGTATTAGTTTCAGGTGTACAGCATGGCGATTCCATATTTTTACAGCTTATACTCCATTAAAAGTTATTACAAGATCATGGCTCTAATTCCCTGTGGAACCACCTGTCTGAAGCGGCTGCCACAGGCTGATACGATTTTTGTTGGCATTAATGGGTGCGTGACCCCAAAACAGAGGTCACAGGTAGGCAGACTGCAGGCTGCATCTGGTTCAGAGGAGTGTGTGTGTGTGTATTTAATTTGCTGCCATCCTGTAAAATTGGCAAATCACATAGAAATCTGGATTTCCAGCTTCTTCTGAAATTCACACGGTTGAGTAGCCCTGGGCCCACACTGCTTCCTGTGACCCTCAACCCGGAAGTGAGCAGAGGACGCCCCTGTGCGTAAGGCCGGTGCATTCAGGTCACCGCAGTCTCCACCCTTTCCTCTTGCCTCCCGCGTGGAGGTGGAGGGACATTTATGATTTCTCGTCACACTTGTGCTGCTGGTTTTTTGATAGTAGGTTTCAGAGGAAAGGGAGCTATTTCTTGTCCCCTGGTCTCTATAAGTCAAAGATGATACATGTCAGTCGTCCCTCTGATGGAGAATCCTGTATCTTTCTAGGCATAAGTGGAAGCTGGAAATTGGATCGTATTCTGTCAGAGTGTCTGAGGGGCTGAGGGCCCTTGAAATCAAATCACAGGAGAAATGATTGAAGGAAGTGTGAGTGTTGAGCCTGGTGGTGAGAAGAAAAGGCCCAGGGAGAGGTGAGGAGGGAAACATGACAGCTCTTTTGAAGTCTTTCAAGGGCCATCCTTCGGAATATGGGGTAGATTTGTGCTTTTTAGATTTCAAGAGTGGGAGTCAAAAGGGAACCACTCTAGCTCAACATAAAGAAAAAGAATGCAGAGGGAGTGAGTTTTGGGGGCGGGGGTAGGCTTCCAAACAGCTGATGGCAGCTCAAATCCTGACTCTGTGGGGGAGCACCTTTATGAGCTAGTAGTAAAGTATCATTCCTATGGCTTTCCCATCAGGGAGTCAGTTGATAAATAAAGTTTTCTGAATTTGCAAAGGAATTTTGTTTCCACCCCCATGACCTGGAAGGCACATGTGTCAGTTTCCTCTTGCTGCTGTAACAAATGAACGTGAATTTAGTAGCTTAAAACAATGCACATTTATTATCTGATGGTACTGGAGGTCAGGACCCTAAAATGGGTTGGTTGGCAGGGCTGCGTTGCTTCTGGAAGCTCTAGCAGAGAATCTGTTTGCCTTTTCCAGCTTCTAGAGGCTGCCTGCCTTTCTGGGCTGTGGCCCCTTTCTCCATCTTAAAAGTCAACATCGTAGCATCTTCAAATCTCTCTCTCTCTCTGACCTCTGGTTCCATCATCACCTCTGTTTCTCTGGGTCTGAGCCTCCTGCCTCTCCCTAATAAGGACCTTTGTGATTACATTAGGCCCACCTGGCTATCCCAAGATAATCCCTTCACCTCGAGGTCCTTATCTCAAATACACGTGCAGAGTCCCTTTGCCACATGTATTAGTTTCCTAGAGCTGCCGTATCAGTTCCCACAAACTCAGTGGCTTAAAACAACATAAACCTGTTCTCTCCCAGTTCTGGAGGCCTGAAGTCTGAAATCAAGGTGTTGGCAGGGCCACACCCCCTCCAGAAGCTCTAGGGGAGGATCCTTCCCTGACTCTTCCAGCCTCTGGGGTCCCCAGGTGTCACCGGCTTGTGGCCGCATCCCTCCCGTCTCTGCCTCCGTCTTCACTTCTCTTCTGTCTCCGTGTGGCCTTATTCTCCTATAAGGGCGTTCGTCATTGGATTTAGGGGCCACCCTGATTCACAATGATCTCATCTCACTATCCTTAAGTTAATTATATCTGCAAAGACCCTGTTTCCAAATAAGGTCACATTCACAGCTTCCAGGGGCTAGAGCTTGGATATATCATTCTGGGGTCACAGTTCCACCTACCGTGTAAAGTGACATATTAGAGGTTTGGGGGATTAAGATCTAGACAGCTTTGAGGGTCTTTATGCTGCCAGCAACAGCACATTTGTGGTTCTTTGCTAAGTGTCTTTCAAGGTCTTCAGAGGGAGGAAGAAAAATGCAATCTCCATGTTGTAATTGTGATTTAATCTTTGAGTGTCTATCTTGCCGACCAAGTGATGGCCTTCTGTTTTTAATGTGTTGGTAATTGTACTGTTGGTCAGTGAGTTGCAGTCTCCAGAACCACAGAAGCCCCGGCATACGTCACCAGCAGGGGATGAACTCATTCACGCTTGGAGAGAAATCAGTGTAAACTCATGCTGTCTTGAAGAGGGTACCCTCCAACTTTTGGCTGCAATAATTAAGTTTCCAGCCTTCTGGTATCAGCCGGACTTGAAATAAAGAGATGCTAAAGGCCTCCTAAAAGGGTATTAACATTTGAAAGCCTTCTCTGCCCCAGGGAAGGTCTTTATTTGCAAACTTCGTCTGTGAAGGGCAAGGGTAGGCAGCAGATGTGCCGTTGGAAAAAAAACACAGAGGTTTCTGCCGCTTGTGTGGGGTCACTAAATA